TTAAATATAATTAGCTGGTAATTTCAACAGTGAGTGCAGTGTCGTGATACTGGACTGCAGCGAGCCAAATGAGAGTCAGTTAATAAACAGATTGCTAATTTTTAACAGTCAGTTATTACTCATTGGTCAGTACTAGTTTACAATGTTTTGACTTTAAAAACATGTTTCAACTATGTAAGAAGAGCAAGTAAAGAAAAGAAGGAAAGTAAATGTTAGGTCCTGAGCTGCCTAACATTTCATATTATTCATATTGTTACATATTTCAATTGTCTTTTCACAAATAGAAATGTTTTATGTAACATAAAAAACATGTAATACTAAATCAAATCTCATGTGATTAAAAGCTCTAAAGAAATTGTGCACTTTAATTTACTGCCCCATTTTAAACAAATTCCTCTAAGTGGGTTTTCTTGAAAAAGCGTTTAAATTACAGGGTTGCGTCTTTGCTTCATTTAGTATTGTGAATTGTACAGTGAATATTGACCTTACCTTGAGCAACATGAGGTCATTGCCCTTTAATATATTACAAAAGTCAGGATGAGGAAATTGTTTCTTAACCTCTCGGAATTGTTTCGAATCTTTTTCCTCTTTCTTGATGGAGTGTGCTCCCAGGATCACCTCACTAATACTGTAAAAGAAAAAAATACAGAGTAAAGTTAACATATATAAAAGCTTCATAGGGGAGGACTACGATAAGATAAATTAACTCCATATTTTGTTATATGCATATTATTAGAGGTGGTTGGGTTATGGGTTTTACTGAAAAATTACTTTCATGGGTGTAGGGTGATGAGGGTTAGAATATGAACAGATTTTGTCTATTGTCATTTTTTGGAACGTTATCAACCTCTATTTTCATTAATGTGCAAAGCAGTCAAACATACTCGTGTCTTACAGGCTTTTTTCCTGAGAGCTGAGGCTTGTCCTTAAAAACGGCAGAAAAATCTGAGGGATTTTTAAAAGCAATGCTGTAGTGGGGCGAGGTGGACGCACCTGAGCGTCATCAGCGATCACGCTGTGCCTGCTTTAAAAGGGTGAACTAGGTCCTTTCTTAGTTGTTGTAGGGGAAGTGAGCAACTGCGAGGTGAAAAACTGAAGCAAGGTGTGAAAAGTGACAGCAACCGAGAGTAATAAAAGCAACACTGAAATGTGGTCGCTTCCGCCATGAGTTTATTCAAATACATTTTTAAGGAGACGCTGATTTGATTGTGCCTACTATTAACATGATAAGTAATTATGTAAATTATTTACACTGAAGATGTGAAGTTTTAGCATATTTGTACTCAAAGTATCAGTGAAAGGATTACTGACAGTATTTTATATGTATACATATGTTATATGTATATATTATTTTATATTATTATGTATATATTATAAAAATGTATTAAAAAAAACACACAATGTGTTATTTTTCACAGTCTGTTAAAAATATTAATATATTTTGATTTTATGTCAGAAGAGTAAGTCTGTACTTAGTGCAGTGGGCAGCAGTCAGGACCCATTGTGGATGGATTAATATCCCCCCACAGAAAGACTTTTTACTTTTCAAGTAAGCCATGAAACTCAGGGAGTGTGGCCTGACTTCCTTCCCTCCAATAATCTCAGAACCATGACCTAAAATTAAAAGAAAATATTCACTTAAATAACTAAATCACAAGATAATCAAGTCAAGAACTTAAAAATGAAAGAAGGAACAGATGAGTAAAACACAAGAAATGCCAGCAGCTTTGCAATACTGAAAGTAATGCCCTTGCATTCTGTGTAATGAATGAATGTGCAATAGAAAATATTACTCACTTGACTGGATGATGAAGAAAATCAAACATGAGATTAAAAGACTGAAATTCTTCAGGCAGAACATTTTGTCTTACCCCTCTTTGATTAGATGCCGAATGCCATGAAATTTACTTTGATGCATAGCTTTATACGCTGAGTTCGAAGGATGTGGTTTGATCATGGAAAATAATGAGTCAGCAAAACTGACACATGCCAGCTGATGAACTGGTGATATTGTTTCAAAGCAAGTGGTCAGATTTATCACAAATAATAAAAATTTTCTGTAGTTTCTATATTAGAGAAGGGATTAAATTGAACTTCCATTGTAGTTTTAAGGTTTTTATTAAAAGTCAAGAATGGATTAACTGAATTCAATTTAATTTTATTTATATAGCTCCAAGTTAAAAAGGCACTTATATTGGTGCCAAAGTATAATTCAGTTTAATGCAGTAATCTGAATTGTCAATCAAAGCGACCAATCACATTAGGACCCCATTTTGTTTATGCTCTACCCCCCAAACAGTCAATAGTCAGTTGATTTCATTTTCAAGGAAATCTTCTGCAGCGCTTCCAAAGCACACACTCTGGTGTGCGCAATGGCTTCTTTGTGGCCGTGGCTGCTGAACTCTTCACATATGGATTTTTGAATTTCTGCACAAGGAATTGTGTAAAGTATCAATGAATACTAGTGTTTGTAAAAACTAAATAATTTGCTTGTTATTTAGATTTTTTTCATACAGAACTTTTAACATAAATATAATTCCAAATCTTTGCCTCCAGAAAAAGTGAGCACCGACAAACACTTGCTCCTGCGTCTTCACTCCAGTCACTTGACTGCTTTGGATGTCACTCACCTGCTCTCTGCTGTTCCACAGACTTTGCCTGCCTGCTTGCAGTAACCTCTCCTCGTGCTCATTCCAACAGCATGACAAGAAGTCCCACTTTCACTCCATTCAGTACTTGTTGCCTTCTTATAACATTTACTCTTCAATGGAGTCTTACATGGTGAGCGTGTACATAGGTCATGGCGGTTGAGTGCATTACTTATTGTTTTTCTTTCAAACAATTCTAACTACAGATTCCAGGTCTTTCTGTAGCTGTCCACAATTGGTTCTTGGCTCTTGGCTCAGTCCTATGTCTGAACTCTTGTGGGGAGCATCTGGTCGTGGTTGATGTGAAATTATGTTGTTTCATTTCCACTTCCAGATTATGGCCCCAGCAGCGCTCACTGAAACCTTCCGTAGTTCAGACGTTCTACTGTAACCAGTGTCATCAGTATGTTTTGCAACAATAAGTTTGCAAAGGCCACTGATTTTATCCATCATGACATGTTTCTTCTGTGACACCTTGCTAATGAGCCTCCTTTTTTACAGGCCATCAGTTGGGACTTACCCAGCTGATGGTGCCCTTTCTTTGCATGCTCAATACTTTTTTTACCCTGTAATAATAAAATAATGGATTGCATTTATATAGCGCTTTTCGGGGGCCTCAAATCGCTTTACAATGCCACTATTCATTCACTCTCACATTCACACACTGGTGGAGGCAAGCTACAGTTGTAGCCACAGCTTCCCTGGGGCAGACTGACATTCTGTGTCCTGTATCCATTCTCATTATTACATACAACATATGGACTTCTATGGTTTGATTTATTTGCATGTGTGGACTGGATGGATTTTTACTGATATCTGGTGAGAATTTCATATTCATATGCGCCTTTTTTTTAGGAAATTGGGGAGATATTCAGTACTTATTTTACTCACTGTATATTCGTACATTTGACAGTTGAAATGAGCACTAAATCTGTTCACAATGCACAGGTTTATTAAAATTTACTGTTGAAATGCTACATCTCTTCAATCCATGCACATTCTACACTCATTAATCTGTTTATATTAACCCTATAAAGCCCTTTGTATCATATTTGATACCTGAGTTTCTGAGACTTCTATCTCATCAACATGATCAATACTTGTCATAATTTCAAAATGTTATGGACAAAACTCTTTTTTTTTGTCTAACATTAACATTGTTGTTAACAAAAAGTTGAAAAAAAAAAGCCCAATGTATCAAATGCGACACACAAAAAAATATTATAAATATATAATAAATATATGTCATGAACAACATGATATAGCAAAAAAAAGTGTATTTTGTTATAAGGGTTAATAAACATCTAAGTTCCCCCCAAAAATGGGTTGGGGTTGAATGGGATGAGTCTTACAGGGTTAATGGTCAACGCAAAACTTTCATCTTCCTGGTGAAACTGAACAAATGCTGATTTTGGATCGTGTTATCAGAATTACTCAAGTAATACAACGAATTATAGTAAAGAGAGGTACTTGGTAAGGGTCACAAATTTAACAAATATTTGTGTCTATCATAAACTCAACGGGTGCAGTGACACAAAATGAACCCTCTATGGTGGATCCAGTGGTCAAGGTTTTTCAGGCAGCAGTGTTTTAATTGTTTACTAAAGTTTAATTTTATATGTTAATATATACCAAGACTGACAATCATATTTGACACATCACTTGCAAATTTGGCAACAATATGACAAATATGGCCGGTCACCGGTCATATACATGCTGGATTTATGCACAGTTCGTTTATTCTTGTTTTCTAAACAGGCAAGTGCACATAGACTATTTGAATTTGTGTTTGATGGTCTAGAAAAAAAAATTAACTCCAGTTACACTTGCTCGCCTAGATGGCTAAATGGTGAAGAGGACGAGACTGTAATTCTATTGACACTTTCCAAGATGACAGTGAATAAAGTGCGGGACCATGTGGTGACATATCACCATTCATATAAATGCGTGCAAACGTCACTTTTTTGAAGCTGAGGTGCGGTCACAGCACAAACCGTCATGGTGGGTGATCCTGACCACTATCATTGGACCCCCATTTATTGGACAGGCACTCGAGGATAGAAAGAGGAAATCTTTCATATCACATGACATACCTTTGTCTTCAAAACATGCACATCTAGCAAAGAATCATGCACTTCTCATTTTCAGCAGCTTTATTTGAGTTCATTTCAATCCCATTTCTTTCTTTTACTATTTTTTAAAAACGTTTAGACCACTAGTTTTTGGCAGATATTCAAAAAATGCTGAATTTTATAGCAAAAATACAGCTTTCCAGTCATATTGATTCAACTTAATTTCACCCGATATTTTCCCGTTGTGCCCCATCAGTGGGGCCTGCTCCACTGTTTGAGAACACTCATGTCCAGTAAGACTCTTAGAGAAATCTTATCTGCTTTAACAAAATCCTTTAAACCTCAAAATATAGACACATATAAATGCAGACCATTGGTGACAAAAATTTGTATTTAAATTTATGCAACAAAAACAAATGTTTAACAGATAGTAAAGGTTTAAGAAGGAAAAAGACTCAGAGAGAGATCTAATTTTGAGTCATAGTTTTTTTGATCCACTGGAGTTGTTTATCTGAGAGAAAAGCATACACTCCAGGGTGTGTTTTGTTACCACACTCCTTAGGTCCAAAGGAAGTGATTCCTGTCAACACACCACTGCACAACAGCGGTCCTCCTGAATCTCCCTGTAGAGAAAATTATAATATGATGGTCACTGAGTTTTTCTTCATTCACTGTGTGTTTATACATCACTCTGCATTTAATTATAAAATATTAATAATCTTTGCCCATAATAATCTCGTCAACAGCATGTCTTTTTCCTGTCCTCCTCCCTCTACCTCCCATTGGTCGAGGCAAATGGCTGCCCCTCCTGAACCTGGCTGTGCTGGAGGTTTCTTCCTGTTAAAAGGCAGCTTTTCCTTCCCACTGTCTCCAAAGTACTTGTTCAAAGGGGGTCTTCTGATTGTTGGTGTTTTCTCTGTATTATTGTAATGTCTTTACCTTACAATGCTTTAAGACAACTGTTGTTGTGATATAAATAGAATGAAATAGACTTGAATTTATTTAGTAGTTTATTTTTTCTGATCATTAACAGTTAAAGTGGTAAAAATGACTATCAAGCATACATACCCGACAGGTATCTGCTGTCTCTGATCCAGCACATATCATGCTGCTGGTGATAACAGGGTCGAGGTTGTAATAGGCACGTGAGTTGCACTTCACTCTGTTAATCACTGTCACATTGACAGACCTCAGGACATCTGACATTTGCTCGGCGTTGCTTTTAGTTGCTCCCCATCCAGCCACCACACAGATGCTTTCAGCTGCAGGATCTTTGACAGCGTTGCCCAACTTGAGCCAATTAACCGTCTCGGTTTTCTTCACTTTTTTGTTAAGCTAAAATTTAAGATATAATTACTTAAGCATAATGAATTCATCATTGCCTTAATAGAATTTTTACAATAAATAAATAAGATAAAATAAAAACAATTTAAAAAAAACCACATTTATTTTAAATGAAACTGCTTAAGCCGACTCAACATGAAGTCAGTCTTTAATCACAATGAAAATTGAGAGACTAAAGTCATAATTCTATTTTGAACAAAAAATTCAAAATACCAGAAGTTTTCAGGATTGTGCAGCTTACACTTACTGTTATATCCTATACAAAATCCACTCTTCCAAGAGGGCATGACAAATGTGGCAATGTGTCTTGACACAACAACTGTAATCTCCACCTTCCCACTCTTTTCTTGAAAAACAGTTTCAAGATTTAAAGATTATCTTGAAGTTTCCACTTTATTCTCAAAATGATTAGTAATACTTTTGTTCTTAATGCGGCCCTGATGCTCTGTCGTACAAACATTAAATGAAAAAAGAAAAATTATCTAAATTTTGCAGAAAAGCATCTTTCTCTTTCTGGTCTCAGGTGGAATTTGAGCTGTTGAATTTTGAACAGATGGGAAGATGAGAAAGACCTTATTTTACATCTGAAGTTAAATAATCATAAGTGACAGCCTGGCTTTGCAGTTGTGTTTATCTTGAATAAACATTTGCTTTTCATGCTTAACATGTATTATGTAATGTCAGCAAACATAACTTTTATAGAAATCGCTAAGGATCGTTTTTCCATTCTGTTATAGTCACCTTACCTTGAGTAACATGAGGTCATTGACCCTGTCTTTTGCATCAAAACAGGGATGAGGAAAACTTTTTTTCACCTTTTGGATCTGCTTTTTTTTTATCTCTCCTGATGGAGTGCACTCCCAGCAACACGTTCTTAATTCTAAAAGAGCCAAAACAATGCAGTGTTAAATTAAAGTTCAATTATGGCATAGGTTTACTGGCCAAGAAAGTGTCAAATAGAGAAGAAATGAAGATTTGCTTTCTCTCTGATTACTGAGTGGTTACATGATAAAAAAAAATTACTAAGGTCACGATGTGGCATGTAGCTGATTGGAATATCATGAAGCTTAAACATGTTGACTTGTATGATATTTTACATACCCATGATGACATGGATTTTTTTGTGATCCAGTAAAAACATAAACAAATGCTTCAGATTCCTACTTATCACAGTGAGCAGCAGTCAGGACCCATGCTTCATCAATTAGTATCCCTCCACAATTGCCCTTGTTACCCTCAAGCAGAGCCATGAAAGGCAGTGAGTGTGGCTTGACTTCATTGCCTCCAATAATCTCAGAACCATCACCTAAAATGACAAATATTCAAAGAGATCACTAAGACAAATGAGTCGACAAGCGCTTAAACCAAAGACAGAAAACTCTCTGCACAACTTACTTTGCAAGCCTATAAGACATCTATGTGACACAGATCACAGAATCTATACACAAAATACCTGAAGCACATCCAAATACAAATTCTAACATTTATGAAACCTTTAAAATCCATGTAGGAGTGATCAGGAAAAGTGAAATTACACTCCAACTAAGAAACCATAACAAATTTGCTGAAAAACATTACTATGACTTAGACATATGTACATTAATTAACCACTAAATAAATCAAAAGCAGAAGAAATGACTCACTTGACTGAACAATGAGAAGAACGACACATGAGATCAAGACACTGAAAAATCCGAAGCAGTACATTTCTTCTTATTTGGCTTTGACTAAAACACACACTGGTGCGCACTCGTCTTTATGTATCAAGCCTAAAGGAAGTGGTCTGAAAATTCAGCATAATGGGCTCAAGCAAGGCGTGGGAATGCATTTGTTTCAAAGATAGTGGTAGCATTTACAAGTATTCATAACCATGTCTTTTTTCTATGTCGTTGCTGAGGTTTGTTCTGTCTGGTGTACAATGAGTCATCCTTGAGTGTACGTGTCCATAAATCTACTTGTATGAAAAAAGCTAGAAGAGTGTATTGATGTTAAAAGAAAAAGCACTTTACAATAACTTTACAGTTGGTGTAGAGATTATTTCCTTATCAGACATGTAGCTTTGAAGCAGCTTCACCTGTCAACTAGTGCCAGTAAGAGACAATGAGGCATGTCTGTCAGCAGACAGTCCACAGATACATCCTGAAGGAAACATCTCAAAGGTAGTGCCCAAAAGAAGAAGGAACTGATTATTTTCAAATTATTAATAATTAATTACTTAATTGAATGTATAGTCATAAAGTGGATGTTTTCTATGTTGACATTACTGTAATTAATACTACTCAGAATGAGAAGACAGTATGTGCAAGAAAAAGTTGTTCACAGCCTTCTTTTTTTTAAGGCTTGTAATACAGGAAGTGGTGAATCTTTCTGGCTGACAGGTTGAATAATCTCACTTTGTTGTTTTACTTTCATGGGGTTTGTGTGTCCACAAAAATGTGTTTTATCTCATGTGTTTCCAGCAAATGTGATTGACCGAAGCAAACAGGAGCACTTATATTTCTCTTGGCATTTTATGTAATTTGCAAAAAGAGAAAATATTTTTTTTAAATTAACAAACGTCTTTGTTCACAAAAAAGAAAAAATGAGGGGAAAAGGAGTAAATATGTCATTTTCCACTGCAGGAACTAGGTGATTGTTTGTTTATTTTTTCCAAAGGAGTAATTCTCTGTTGGCCAAGAGAAAGAATATAGGTCTGGCTTTTCATGTCTCAAAGCTAACATGTCAACCTATATGTGCAATCTGCAGTGACAGCATCTAAAATATTAAATTGTAATCCATCACCTATCACAGTGGCTGTGTCCATTTTTGGTAAACAGGACGGCCACAAAGGCAAATATTTGACTCATCTGACTTCAATTCCTGCAGTGGAAATGGCTAGCCACAGCAGAACTACGATCACATGTGTGTACAAGAAGGAACGCGAGAAGCTTGAGAAGTATCAAGGGCTCAGAGGAGAGCTGCAGAAGATGTGGAGGGAGAGAGTAACAGTGGTCCCAGTATTAATCAGAGCACTAGGTGCGGTGACTCTTAAGCTAGGCGAGTGGCTACAGCAGATCCCAGGAACAACATCGGAGATCTCTGTCCAGAAGAGCGCAGTCCTGGGAACAGCTATGATACAGCGTAGGACCCTCAAGCTCCCAGGCCTCTGATAGAGGACCCGACAGAGACCGCAATGACAACAAGACGTCAAAGATTTCCATCTTGTTTATCATGTTGATGCCTCTGGAGTCATGAAATTTCAGTTTGCTTAATTTATTCATGATTCAGTTGAGTTGTTTTTCTGACAAAAAAGAGTAGACACTAACTGAAGTGGTTGTTCTGTGTCTTCTTAAATTAATATATATATTTAACCGCTGACAGACAAGAAGTATGGTTATAATAAAAAAAAGTTAACATATATTTACTGTTAACTTTTTCAATTCGTGATTGTGGAATATTCATCATTTTCAGCTTCATTTCAACTTTTGATTTTGTGGGGTTTTTTTGTTTTTTTTTACTGTGTATTAAGTTGTAGTAGCTCAAAATAGCTGCAAACTTAGGTCAGGTCACTAAACAAATTATAATGCATCATGGATAATCCTAACCACCATCATTCAATTCAATTCAATTTATTTATATAGCACTCTTCACAGGGTAAAAACCACATAGTGCTTCACAGTAATATAAAAACAGAAATACATTTAACCATAAAGTACATAAACAGGACATAACTTTGTCTTTGCAAGACATTTATCTAGACACTCTTATCTCAATATGGCATCTGATTCTTGGTGTGCTTGCTTTTTCTACATTTAGTAACCCAGACCATTGGTTACTAATGCAAAACAAAAGTACATTACAGAAAAGTACACTTCTATCAGTCAACTGAATTTCACACCATATTTCTACAGGTTGACAACCACTGATTTACAACAAACGTTCAGTAACACTCTGCTTTAACATCATCCCTAAAATCATAAATATAGACAGATATAAATGTAGACTCGTGGTGGCAAAATAACACAACTGAACTTAGTATCCCTCTTTAATTTAAAGATGGAAGCAGGAATGATTCAGAGAACTCATTCTATTTTAGATCCCTTCATTGTATTTTTGATCCACTTGAGTTGTTTTTCTGACAGAAAAGAGTAAACTCCGGGTTTTTTAATGAGACCGCACATCCGTCCAAAGGAAGTGATTCCAGCTAGCACACCATTGCACATGAGAGGTCCTCCTGAATCCCCCTGCAAAGAGAGCAATAATATGAGGTTCATTTTTTCATTTATTTTTCGACTCGTTTACGGTTCAAGTAGCGAAGTGGACGGTGAGGCGTACATACCTGACAGGTATCAGCTGTGTTTCTACCATTCGAACCAGCACATATCATGCTGCTGGTGATAACAGGATTGAGGCTGTAATAATCAGCTGAGTTGCACGTCACTCTGTCAATCACTGTAACATTGACAGACCTCAGGACATCTGACATTCGATTGACATTGTTTTTAGTAGTTCCCCATCCAGCCACCACACAGACGCTGCCAGCTTTCGGCTCCTTACTGGTTTTGGGCAGCGTGAGCCAGTTTACAGCTTTGGTTTTTTTCACTTTCTTGTCCAGCTGAAATTTAAATAATACTTATTTAACCATAATGGGTTCATCATTGCTTTTAGTAAAAACAAACAACAAAACACACACATTTATCATATTTGAGAGAGTGCATGTATATATTTGACCTTATATGTATAATTTTGACTTTGAGAAAATTCAACAAAAACAAATTTTCTATAAATTCCTCTAAATATAATTATCAGCAATCTTGGATCACTTTTCCATTCTTTTGTAGTCACATTACCTTGAGTAACATGAGGTCATTGACCTTGTCCGTGCCATCATAGCAGGGATGAGGCAAACTTTTTTTCACCTTTCGGACCTGTCGGAAATCTTTTTCATCTGCTTTGATGGAGTGCACCCCCAGCAACACCTTCTTAATGCTGTAAGAGCAAAAACGGTGCAGTGTTAAATTACAGTTCAGTTATGGAATAGGTTTATTGACTAAGAAAGTGACAAATATGGTAACAGTGATGCAGAGCAGCACTTGTTACTTGTAAAGAAGTGTTCAAACCCCTGAGCTCTTGTGGTTTCTTTAGTCACTATCTGCCAGATTATAGCTGCTATAATGAATGCTGAGTGGAGCATCATAAAGAGGAAAGCTTACTGACTAGCATGACATTTTGAACAATCATAGTGCAACATCTTTGCAAGATCCAACAAAAATTAAGATTGCAATTTTCAAATGTTAATGGGAAAGATTCCTACCTAGGACAGTGTGCAGCAGTCAGGACCCATGCTTGATCAATTAGTACCCCTCCACATATCGGTTTGTCACTCTCCAGCAGAGCCATGTAAGGCAGCGAGTGTGGCTGCACTTCATTACCTCCAATGATCTCAGAACCACGACCTAAAGTGACAAATATTCAAAGAGGTCATTGAGATGAACAGATAAATTCTCTTTACACCTTCCTTTGTAAAACTAAAAGACATTTAGATCACACAATCTACATGCACAACACTAAACAAAGCATAAGAAACAAGCAGAAACATTACCATGACATATTTACATCAATTAATTCATTAGTATTAAATAAACAAATGCACAACAGATGAAATAACTCACTTGACTGAACAATGAGAAGGACAACACATGAGAGGAAAACACTGAAACCCCTGAGGCAGAGCATTTCTTCTTGTTTCGCTTTGATCTAAATAGACTGAAACACACTATGGTGCACAAAGTCGCCTTTATGTGAGCTCAGAGGAAGTGGTCTGACAAATGGAAATTCATGTGTCATGAAAAGCGGTCGCAAGCATGAGGTGAGGATGCATTCATTTCAAAGCCAGTGATCCGATTTACAAGTAAATCTCGTGATCTGTGTGGCACAGTGCAAGTCATCAGTGGGCGCAGGTGTCAATACATGGACTAGTGTGAAACAGTTGGAGGAAGACATTATTCATGTTGAAAGAACAAGTCCTTTACAAGAACTACACTACCAGTCAAAAGTTTGGACACACCGTCTCATTTAATGATCTTTCTTTCTTTTCATAGCTATTTACATTGTAGACTCATATGGCATTATGTAGTAAACAAATAACTCAAAACATATTTATATTTTAGATTCTTCAAAATAGCTACTCTTTTATTTGATTACTGCTTTGTACACTCTTGGCATTCTCTCGATGAGCTTCAATGAGTCAGCTGAAATGGTTTTCCAACAGTTTTGTAGGAGTTCCCAGGGATGCTGAATATTTGCTGGCCCTTTTGCCTTCACTCTGTGGTTCATCAGATCCCAAACCATCTCGATTGGGTTTAGGTCAGGTAACTGTGGAGGCCAAGTCATCTGGTGCAGATCTCCATCACTCTCCTTCTTGGTCAAATACCCCTTAGACAGCCCGGAGGTGTGTTTGGGGTCATTGCCTGTTGAAAAATAAATGACGGTCGAACTGAAGGCAAACCAGATGGGATGTCGTGTCGCTGCAGGATGCTGTGGTAGCCATGCTGGTTCAGTGTGCCTTCAATTTTTAATAAATCCCCAACAGTGTCACCATCAAAGCACCCCATCACACCTCCTCCTCCATGCTTCATGGTGGGAATCATGCATGTTTCTGCGTCGTACAAAAACACGGTGGCTGGAACCACAGATTTCAAATTTAGACTAATCAGACCAAAGCACAGATTTTCTCCGCTCTAATGTCCAATCCTCATGTTTCTTGTCCCAAACAAATCTATTCTGCTTGTTGCTTTTCCTTAGTAGTGGCTTCCTAGTATCTATTTGAGCAAATCCACAAAGGAACCCTGACAAAGCCCATCTGTCATGGTCCGTGTGAGCAACTGGGTGTGGCTGGTGTGGATCCCGGCTTCCTGTAACACTAGCGTTCCCCCTCCTCGACTCAGAGATGGTCTTTCCCTTTTTCCTTTACAGAGGGTACATCTTTCACCATCTTACAATGCTGTGATTGCAGCCATTTCCCAACTCTCTGTGAATGGTACTCATGGTCTTTGATCAGTGGGTTTTGGTCAGTGGTTGTTGATCAATGGTCATGAGAATTAGAATTATTAAGATTAAGGAACTGACCTCCCAGCCTATTGTTTATAAGGTTGGGGAAACCTGCAGTCAGCTGAGACTGAAGAAGTCACTTGGATGAGTGATGAAACGTTTCTCCCACAAAACGCTACGTCCAGATGAACAGAATCAACTTTTGGAGATTTATTTACCTGGATTATTGAGCATGCATCAAGATATTTAGTCACATAAATGCGCTTCATAATTCCATATATTTTTATTCATATATTTGATGGCTTCAGTGAGAATCTGCAATGCAAATTGTCTTGAAAATAAAGAAAACCACCAAATAAGAAGGGGCGTCCAAACCTTTGACTGGTAGTGGTCACTATGGTCACTTTTTTTTCTCTGTAAAGGTTCTTTTCTGTTTTTCTTATCAGACATGTGACTTTGGAGCAGCTTCATCTGGCAGCTAGTGCCACTGAGAATCAGTGAAGCATGTATGTTAGCTGGGACTCCACAGATATACCCCGAAGGAATCTTCTCTAAAAATAAGTATGGAGCTTAGTATTTAGTCTGTAGGCTTTTCAGTTATTTGGAGTCTGAAGTTAGAGTGAACAAGGTTGGAAACATCGTCCTCTAGTCAGGTATCCTTTGTGATGTGGCAAAATACCATTCATGTTTAGAGTACCCAAATGGTTAGTGTGGGATAGCAACTAGCTATACAAGTAATTTATAGCATTGACTAGCTAGCGTAGTCAATGCTATAAAGAGAGCACCTTCTTTCTGTATTTGCATCTGTTGCTCCAGCCCCAGACACATCTGACCAATAAGCAGACTAAATGTTCTCATGTGGTTTGTAGTGACATGTTTTGGTTCACTTTGAGTGTTTTTTCTGTGTGAATTGAGACAAAACCACAGGAAAACCTACCTGCCACCCCTCCCCCCCCTCCCCTCAGTCTAGCCCAGTCATAGATTGGAAGTTGAGCAAAATTAATGACTGAGTCGGTAAGTTGGTGGAACATAGTCATAGCACTGCGTAGCATTTGTTCCACTGAACACTATGCAGTGGTTTCAAAAAGTAAGTATAGGTCTTGATTTAACACCTTGTGGAACCACCTTGGGCAGCAATAAGTTAAAGCTCTCATATTCTGTATTACTTTAGCACTTTTTGTGGCAGAATGTTGGTCAACTGTTCTTCTCTAAACTTTGACTAGATGACCGTAGCAGCTTGATTCCTTTTTTTTTTCAGCCATTCTGCTGTTGTTGGTATGCCTGACATCTTTCTCTTGTTGCAGGGCCCAGTTTCAGCCAAGCTTCAGCTGTCAGACAGATGGCCTCACATTAACTTTGCATTAACTTTGTATATAGATGAGTTCATGGTCAAATCAATGACTGCAAGGTCCCCAGATCCTGTGACTACAAAACAAACTCAGGTCAACAAAGCTCCACTACTATTTAATGTTTGACAGTCGGTATGAGGTGTTTGTGCTGATATACTGAGTTTGGTTTTCTCCAAATGTGGCACTGTGCGTTAGAGAACACTGTTCCAGAAATCTGGCTCACATTCTACTTTCATAATCGTACAATTATGAACTTTAACATTTAATATGCTAACTGAGGCCTGTAAAGTCTGAGATGTAGTTCTGGGGTTTTTGCAATGTCTCTTAGCACTTCATGGTTTGACCTTAGGGTGAATTTGCTTTGACATACACTCCAGGGGAGAGTATGCCTTTCTATAATACTGACACCTGAGTGCTCCAGACCAGCAAACTGCCAAAACCTGTGCTTTTATATAGGTGGTCACACATGCTGATGATCAGTTAATCAAGTGCATTAGCAGCACATGGCTGCTACATACTGTACCTTTTTACTTTCCTGTAGAAACAGGAATAGAAAAGAACAGAATGGAATAGAATAGTCATTTATTGTCATTGTACATGTACAACGAAATTACAGGTGCTCCATACCAACAAATATAAATAGTAGACAACAGGATTAAAAAACAAACAAGAATAATATAAAAAATTATAGAAATTATAGAAAGAACAAGTTGGTACAATCCCAAAGCCTTTTTTCTTTGTTTTTCATTAAATGTGCGCAAATAATCAATAAACCAACAACTTTATTGAATATTTGTATCTATGCCACTCTTTGTAAATAAGCTTGTCAGCAGAGTATAGTAAGTAATCAACTGTTTATACTGCTATTCAGTTACTGTTAACTTGTTTCCTGATACGCTACATAAATCCTAAAGGCAGCTTAAAAAAATACACCTAAAGGCCTGAGAACCATGAGATCAGCAAGGTCTTTATGTAAAACACATTGCTTGTTTGTGTAATCACTACTTTTTTGACCTATGTTTGGTTCAAGAAAAATATCTCACTCTCAATCAAGAATACTGGTAATGTTATTTTCCATCTTTGAAATGCTAATGTTTCATTTGGGTCATGACATTCAATTAAATGCACTGCCACTATCTGAAACTATTGAGAAGACCCTAAAAGTTATGTTTGTCTAATTCTAATTTAAAGCAACAAGTACATTTTGAAAGAAGCTTTATAATATTTCGTCCAATATCAATGGGCCCTGTAATAAAAAAAATATTGTAATAAACAAACAAATGAACAAAAAACACTAAAAAATATAAAAGAAAAAAGAAATCCTAAAAGTGAAGAATAACAACAATAAACATTTTTTAAATTTTACAGTTTAAAATTTTCTTTTTGTTCCTCTTAATAGTTTATATTTTTATGACTTATAACTTCTAGCAGCACTGGATGAAATATATTGTCCTTCGCTCATTTTTCACATTTACTGACTTTCTTGCTTTTTTAAATAAACTAAAGGTGAGTACATCAAGAAAAAGTGGAAAAACAAAACAACATAATACATAATATGTGATTTCTTCCTACTGCTCATTAAAATCAAATGACGGTTTCATCTTGAGGTAAAAAGTGATACTACAGTGGTCCATCTGACACTTCACTGCATTGACTTGTGCTAATACTTCATAACTCAGACTGTGATGAGTTACAGCATGACACATTTTGTGGGAAATGACTAACAGGTAGTTTTAGTTAAAAAAAGAAGAAGCATAAAATGCTTTTAACTAATACTCCAGGGACTACTTTTTAAAATTTTGAGGGTCATATATTTTCACATATGCTCACTAATCTGAATGACCAATGGTACAACCATACAATACAAAACAACAGTGTAGATGTCTGTTTATAAAGATGAAGCCAATGTGAAAGTGCCTTAAACCTGCATCCTATGTGAAGGGCCACTACAATGCAATATCTGTGGCTGCGTAAAGGCTTTCGGTACTATGAGTCTGTGGGTAAACGGCAACGGAAAACACAATCCTGTTGAGTTCGTGGTCTTAGTCACTCATTTAGGATCAAATTTAATAAAAATCGAAAGGTATTTTAGAAAATTTGGTCATACCATGTTTCAAAAAAGAAGGTTTAACTGTAGTATTTTCTACACACTGGTTAACGATTCATTTGTAAATGAGAAGCAATTTATTTAAAAAATGAATCTGTCTCCATGTATTCTATATTCATTGTGTTGGCATTTTTCATTTGAAGAGATTTTTCTACAAATGTCCAGACTATGTTTTTTCCGTGTCTTAACCAATGCCTGGAGTTTTCTGAGGGACCAGATCAACAATTGTGTCTTCAGTTGAGAGCAACACTGGAGAGATGTAATGATTTGATTCTTCAAAACGACCTGCTGTTTAAAAAATAAAAATAAAAATTATGTTATATGTTATGGAGATTTTTTTAAAATATATAGATTTTTTACTGGAGAAAGAAGACCTACCTTTTTTAAGGATATGATAAAGAATCCACAGTGGAGGAGCAAGCAACATCAGTTTAATGACCATCAAAACAGCAAAGATGATATCGTGATCTACCGAAGTAGAGAGGATACAGAGACACAGATACAAAAGAGGGAGACGAGCACCAGTTTACAATGATAAGTAAATGGGCTGAATATAATAGAATATTTTAATTTAAGTTGTTGTCAGTTATTGTACACAGTATCTAGGAAGCAAGCCATGACACAAAAATAAACAATACGTATTTCCTTACCTGTTTTAACGTCTACTGTTGTAGGGTTACTCTGCAGGATGATGTTTCCACCAGTAACACTGTCAGGCCGAACAACAAAGGCAGAGATATGTAGGAAATACTTTGTGCCTGATGTTAAGTTGGAGATGCTGATGCTCATCACTGCAGAACCATTGGTGCAGGAGTAAAGGACTGTCTCACATCTGCTGTCACATATGGTCACATTGTAACTGTGTGGTGTCGTCTGCATAAAGGCAGAGATATTCCAACTAAGATTCACATGTTCCGCACCCACTGAGTCAACTGTCACCGACTGAGGGGAATGTGGACCTGTGGGAAGAAAAACAGTCAGAGTCGAGTAAGAGCTCAGGTATGGATCATGGATCATAAAAAAATAACATGTTATCAGATAGGTTTGATGAAAAATGATGGAGAAAACAGAGATTTAAATACCAGGTGATGGGTTATTATATGAGGAGAGCTAGATAGGTCAGTGAGGGGGCCAGCAGCAGAAGCAGTATCTGCTCTTTTGTGGGGAGGAACAGGAGAATCCTGGTAAAATACTAAAAAATGAACTCCAGCATGAACTACGGTGGACTAGTTCATCTATCTAAATTGGTTGGAGGTACTGTCTCATGTTACTGTGCTTTTGAGCAGGGATCTCCAACTTCAGAGAGCTGCGGGCCACTGCTGGCACTGTCATCTCATTGTATTATTTCAAATATTGTATAAATATTGTATAACAACAATTTTTTTTCTCACTCTTAACTAACTGAAGCTTTTCATTGAACTACCAAATAAATAAATTGGTACACTCTTTCTGGCCAGACACATTGCAGCACTTTTGCAATCATTATGTTCATATTTAACAAAATAAAAATGCAGACATAAGTGTACACATTAGTTTTTTACTGCCAGTGAAAAATGTTTTCTTTACAAATAACTTTCTCACTGAACTAACGCAGCCAACATGTTTGTACTGTCTGCTCATATTGCCTTCATATTAAATATTTGTTTGCTTTTTAATGAACTTTTTAAGGAACAACAGGAAAGAAATCCTCCCTAACAAAAAGAGTAATTTCAAGGGCCAAATTGCATTATATTTCGTCACCTCAACATATGGGCCGCAAGTAGGGGTGACACGGGCTGCAAGTGTCCCCAGGCTGTGAGTTTTAGAGCCCTGCTTTAGAGGTTTAAACCAGCAAAACTATTTTAATAATGATTTCTTTCAACTGCTACCTAACTAATCTGTTATAAATAATAACAGGCAGGTGGATGCAGGATATAAACAAAGCACCATAACATAACCAGTAGAGTATGGGATCATTTTCTTGTGGCAACACACTCACCTTAGACAGGTAGAACAGGTTTTTAGTCACTGCATCGTGTTTCAGTGAATCTGACTGTTTGCATTTTTTAGTTGTGTGCCTCATCTTTATTGAGTATCATATTTAGACTTTGTAGTTACTATATTTGTCAGTTTCTAACTCCAAAAAGAGCAAAAAATGCATTACTTACCCTGACAGACAACCATGTGTGGTTCCTTACAGTAGCGAGCCAACAGGTTCTTGTCTTTTTCCAGCATGGCCTCTAAACTTGCACAGCAGCCTTCATTGTTTCTCCTGTACCAGTGTTCATAGCCCAGTTGTTCCCCATTCACCCACTGCCAGTCACTGGAGACACTCTGGCGTTTCAGACCAAGCCAAAAGCTGACTTTTGTGGCAGGAGTAGCATTCAGGACACTGAAGTACTGCTCCTCTGTGGTCAGGACAGCAAGGTCCACATAGTACTTCTGACAGAACTCCTGGGCTTTGACCCATGGCATAGGTCTTTGGACTAGGAAGTAATAAGAAGAGATCTGACCCACTGCTAAGCCATGACATACCACTGCGTAAGGAAAAAAAACATAGATGAAGGCAGAGTAGTTAACAATAGCTATGTTTGGTTGTTTGATTGTGTTATAATCTATTAGACATGTTTTCATTATATACATTTAAATAGTGTGTTGCAGTATTTAGTAGAATAACTGTGTACAAGTGTTAAATAAATACTGAAGTATAGCCACCATTTTTCAATCTACAGAAATGCCCAAGTTGTAAAGACAGACATTAACCTTAAAGACGAAAATGCAACTGAGAGATTTGAGACTACATTTGTATGTCATTGTAGAAGAGCATGGAACAGGGGGCCAAGGGTCTTCTCCCTCTAATAATCTGTCCTCGTGAGCAGCTAAGTCACATTTTAGCTAACATTAACAGCAGCTAGAGTATGTCTGTGAAGGTTCTCAGTCATCCAGGTCATCGTAGTCAAAGGAGCTTGCAAAGAAAAGCGTCTGGACTTCTTTAAGTTACTTGAAGACGTTTCACCTCTCATCCGAGAAGCTTCTTCAGTTCTAAGGTC